TGGGAAAGCCGGCCTATTGTCTGATTCAAAGGTGTCAGGTGGCTCAATGTTGGGCCTTGACAAGCCTGGCCCGCCTTTAGTACGCGTTACCAAAAAAAAAAAAAAACTTGTATGAAGCAATAGAGTATAGTAAATCAAAAGAGAGTAAAGACCAAATAAGTAAAATAAAAATGAAACCTTTAAGAGTAGAGTGAAGAAGTATGTAAAGACAGAGAGAGTTGAGTAAAATAGTGTGTTTAAATAATTAAATTCATAAAAAGAGAGATTTAACTTGAAGTTGGCAATAGTTTTATTAATAGAAGAGTTAATAATTTGGAATAAAGAATTTTGACTAAAACATGTATACTAGTGTGAAAAAGAGTTATAAAGATTACAATAAAAACAAAATAAAGAAAGAAAGAGATTAGATGATATAGTGTAAAGTATGTGTTTAGGTAAAGAGTTAAGTATCATTTAAATTTTAAAGAATTAGTGATAGTTAAGTTTGGAATTGGTAAAATTATAAAAGCTTTTTTAATTATTATTAAAGTAAAGCCAAGTAGATTTTTAGTCTATAAAGTTAGAAAATGTTGTAGGGCTGTCAATAAAAGAATTTTTTTATTGAAGGAAGAAGTAAGAATTATGTATATTGGTATAGTTAAATAAAAGAATTGGTAATAGTATATGATTATTGGCAAGAAGGTTTGCTAGATTGTTAAAAGTATTATCAAAATATACTAGGACTTTATGAAAAGTTAAATTGATTTGAAAAAGTATATGCCAAATTGGCTAAGAGTTAAATTTGAAAAATTTAGTAGAAAAGAAAGAGTATTGACAAAGCTTATTGTATTTAGAGATCACCAATTGAGAGTTTGTAAAAAGATTAACTGAAGAGTTGTGAGATAAGATTGAAATAGCTGAGAGTATAGAGAGAAGTTTTGAAGTAGACTAGTTAAATATTTGGGCAGAATAGTTATAAATAATAGTATAATTGTGAATTTGAACTCAACTAATATCTATAGTATATTGGTCAGTACTAAGATTTTTAACAAAACCATTAGTATAAAAGAAAAAGTATTGATAAAGGAAGTTAGTTAAGGCAATTTGATTTTTTTTTAATATTAAGATAAAGCCTTGCTCATATCTTTATTGAATAATTTATATAAGTAATTACATAATAAAATTATATAAAAAAACTTGATTTGTATAAAACAAATAAATATAAATTATATACAAGAATAAGAGCTCAGACTAATCTTGTTGGTAAAACTAATCTTCAATTGTGCACCAGATAGTACAATGTTGGTGTACTATTTTTTGGTAAAACTAGTGTACTGATAGTTATAAAAAAAACAAATTTTTAATAGTGCACCAGATAGTGCAATGTTGGTGCACTATTTTTTTGTGAAACTAATTAGTTTCTCCAACAAGCTTAGCTTAAACTAATTATTTATCTGTGATCTAAACCTATTAGAGTGGCCAAGATTCACCTAGATTTGAAAAACTTTATACAAATCTAGATGAGTTTGGATAAGTATAAAGTTTTATAGAGGTTTTATAATATATATAAGATATAAATTTTTTGTAATATAAATAAGTATAGTATTTTTAAAAGAAGTTTAATAAAAAAAAAAAAAAAGTTAATATAAAAAAAATTGTAATAAGTTAAAAATAAAAATAAAAATAAATGATATTGTTAAGTAAAAGTTGAATATTCAGTTATAGTTAGTAATGCTTTTTTAGTGCACCAGGTCTAGCATACTACTGGTGGTAATTGAATACACAGCCCTGCAGTATTATATGCTATAATCACTGTATTACAATGACAAAGTTATGAAGATCATTTTTTATACAATTTAAAAGAGATAAGATTTGCTGATTATTACTTAATTTGCTTTGTGTTGATTTGTCAGAGAATTTTGAGTTATATAATATACATTGGTTTTAGGTTTAAAGTTTGTAAGAAGTTTTGTTGAAGTTTTTAACAAAATAAATAAGTATAGTTATTTTTATAGCCATTTAAAGAGGAGCTTTAAGCAAAGTTTACTACCAAAGGAAGTAAAGGGTTTATTTGAAAATGAAGTTGTAGAGTTAATACCTGAGAAGAAGTTGCAGAAAGTACAAGCAAGATTTCAGTTAAAAGATCCAAAGAGATTTATCAATATAAGATTTATAGAATTGAATTTACAAGAGTAGAAAGGTATATATTTAAATTAATATGTATTAGTTTATAATAAAATGTATTTTTAAAACAACTAAGAGAGAATAATATAGTTTATGAAGTGAAAAGGATAATGTGAAAAAAAGATTGAATGAAATTAATAATCATATATGTGAGCAAGAATTAGGACAAGGTTCTGAAAATCATGTTTTGAGTTTTTTACATGATTAAAAAGAAAAATTTTTGTCAAGATTAAAGAGAATAAGAATATTACAACAAGCAAAAAGTTTTGGTGAGATTGATAGTAGTATAAGTATAGCGAAGAATAGTTAGAATATAAAGTTAGAAAAAAGAAATGTTTAAAAGTAAAAATAGAAAAGAAATTAATTTGTTTGTTGTTTAGTTAGGTAATAAGTTAGTTTGATTATTAAATTTTAATAAAATTTAAAATAAAGTAAAGTAATAAAAGAAAGATATTTGAAGATTTAATAAATATAGTTTAAGAAAAAAAAAAGTTTAATAAAAAGAAATTAGGGATTTCAGATATTTGAAAGTTTGGCAAAAAAAGGGCTGTATTAATTGTTGGGATTAGAAATTTTTTGAAAATATATTTTATAGCTTGTGAAAAATAAGATTGATAGTATTCAAAAAAAATTAAAGTAATTGTATGCACAGAAAATTTCTTTTCTTAATTTTCACTAAGAACCTACTGCATGTTTTTATGAGTTCTGGGAACTATTTTGTCTGAAGCAATTCACATATTATTCAGATTATTTTGCTAGACCATGCAGTTATAACATGGCATTCTATAGTGTGCTACTTTATATGTTGCAGTTACTTTGTTGGCCTCAAGCATATTTGAAAGAAAAACTAAAACTTGTGCTGCAAAAGCTATTGAATGCCCTTGAATTTCAAAATATAGTTTATCTGGCTTTTTTAATAAAGGATCAAGCATGATTTCCAGACACTTATAGTATATCTTATATTGTAAACTTTGAAAGACATCAGTAGATTTAACTATGGAATTTTGAATTTTTGGTAAAAACCCCAAAAGAACTTTGAAGTCTGCTGAATTCCAGAGCCAATTTGGAAGATTTTCAAGTATTAAAAAAACTAGATGCCCTGAAAACTTACCAAGATTATTAAAGGTTATTGTGTCAGAATATAAAATAATTGACAGCAAACAATTTATTGAGGGAATTGTTTTTTCTACTTCATGCCACCAGTCACATTCATACTGTTCTCCAAACACTCTTACTTCAACACTATTATCCTAAAAAAAAAGCAAAATTTAAATTGATTTATTAAATATTAAGTGATGCTTTTTTTTATTTATTTATTTATTTATTTTTTTTGTGGTTTAATTTTTTTGTTTTTTTTTTAATTTTTTCTTTTGTTTTTTAATTTTTCTTTTTTGCTTTTTATTTTATTTTATTTTATTTTATTAAAAACTATGTTTTTTTACAGTACAGTATAGAGGTGTTTTTTGTATTAATTAATATTAAAGTTAAATATATCTTTTTTTTCTTTAGAACTCCTTATAAAGCAAAGTTTTCTGTTATTCTTGGTCATTCTAGAAATGCTTGAATTGTATGAAAAATTGGACGATAATAAAGTATAATATCAAGCCCAGAGTAATTTGTAACATGTTTTTTTTAAAAATCTATCAAAGTTAATTTTATTAGATTTAGATAGTCTTTATTGCTTTTTGTAAACTTTGGCAATGGTGATTCTTTTAAATTATTATGTTTATTGAAAAACTTTATTATCTTATCACCAATATTATTAGAAATATTTCTATCTACAACTAATTTCATAAAATCACAGTAGGCATTAATTGGGCCATTCTGCAAAGATTTGTGTTTTGTTTTTTTCTTAAATACTATATAGAGTATTATCAATAGTTGCTCCTTGAATGTCTTCAAGATCTGAACAAATACTTTTAAAATTTGATAATTCTTCTGTTTATTAAAAGTATTTTATTTTAGAATTTTTATATTTTGATACTTTATTTTTTAAAAATTGAATTATATTAAAATGTAACTTACTATTCTTATCTAATTGTGTTGTATTTTCTTCAATCATAAATAGCATATCAGAATCTTTTAAAGATTCTTCAACTAACATGTCACTAACATTTTCATTTTCATCTTTCCATTCTTCTGTTTTTCAACATTAATCTGTAATCATAAAAGGATTTTTTTTTAAATAATAATACTATATAGAAATAAAAAAATTTTTAATTTATAGTGAGTTACATCTTGGTTAGGTAGAATGTAGCTAGTGGTTGTAACCAGAGGGTTTAAATGGGTATCCCCCTAGTTGGAGTGCAGATATAGCAAATAGTGTAAAACCTTTGGGCGTACTACTTAAATTAGACACTCAAAAGATACACGTGTGGCTATATATACTCTTATTGTAGCTGTAAAATATTATATATCTACTTAATAAAAAATCACTAGGCCGTAGAGGTCACCTTAACACTGAAAAAAAAAAGATTTTTAATTTATTTAATTTATTTATATATAATTATTTTATAGGCTAGCAACTTTGTACTGTTTCTTTAACATTTAGTATATGAATTCCTCATGAAATTGGCAGCCTTTGTGTTCTTATATTAGATGTATTCTACAAATTTGTATTATATACAGGTTCATAATCTTCAAGTTCCTCAGATCTTTGGTGTTGTTGTAGTCTTCATATAATAGAATTAATTCTCTGATGAAGAATTCTTTCCCTTGTTTTAATCCATATTTAGTATGAAATTTACCTGAGCAAACACTGTAAATATATGGTATTTTTTAATTGTTTTTTTAAAAATCCCATGTAGGTAATTAATTAAAAAAAAGAAGTCTTTTTATAAATAATCTAGAAATCTAAAACTCCAAGTTTTTGGAAGCTAAATTATTTAACTCAGAAGTAATTAGCAAATATATAATTGATTTGAAATTATATAACTTTATTAACTTTATTATATCTTTATCTGTCATATAAAAAATTTAATACATATAGTGTAGAATCTTCGGGCGGACTATTTAAAATAGGCACTCAAAAGGTGCACATGTGGCTTGATGTACCATCGTTGTAATTACATATAAAACTTCGTCTATACTCTAATAAAAAGTTCCCAGACCAAAGAGGTCACCTTAATACCAAAAAAAAAAAATAAAAAAAAAAATTTAATACATATATGTCATAAATAAAATAGCATAAATCAACATAATGATGTATTTATATTTAGTAGCCAAAGAAAAATATGTAATAAAGTAATCACTAATGATTCAGAATCATGAATGCAGCATGAATTAGTGCACTTTAATTAATTATAGAAAAATTAATAATTAAAATCAAGAATTTGAGATTAAAAGAAATTGGTTAAATTTTATTAACATTTTTTCTTTCTACTTTCATAATTTTAAAGTTTTTTTTCATAAATCTTTAATATTAGTAGTAGAGGAAGAAATCCTAAAAGCAAAGTTAGTTTTTCCAAAAAAACTAAAAGCAATAATTCTGTCCCTATTGAAACAGATCATATAGAAAAAAGTATTAATAAAACAAAATCAGTTTTTGGAATGATATTGTGTAGCAACAATAACAATAGTTAGGGAACTATCATTTATTATATAATTATAGCCTCCTCCAGAGTCAGTCATTTGACAATTACAAGTTCTAAAGTAATTAATCGTTTAACAATTGTAAGCTCTAAAATAACCAATCGTATAGAGTTTATATTATGATTACTTTAGAACTTGTAATTGTCAAATAACTGACTCTAGGGGGGCTATAATTATATAATAAGTAATAGCTCCCTTTTTATTTCAAAATTTGATAATTATTTTATTTATTTATTTTTTTTTAGAGCCAAGCAAAATATCTTCAAATATCAAAAGAACATCAACCAAAGTATTATTAGTGAACCAAATTTTTAAATCAAAAATTCAGTCTATTCAAGAGCCAAATTAGCCACAAATAGAAGCAAGTAATATATATATATATTAATAATACAGTATTTAAAAGTTATACTATTATTATTATATAGTTGTTGTAATTTTAAAAGATAATAATGAGCTACCTATATCACTAGTTTGAAATAAAAAAGTAATATCACAGCCAACTAAAGAACTACTTGAAAAGCAAAAAGCTTTGCTATTTGCAAATGAAGAAATATCAGCAAATAAAGAACTATCTGATAATTACTTGCAAGATGATTACTTATATAACAAATTATCTGATAATGACTCATACTTACAAGAAATGCTACAAGAATCACAACTTTCAGAAATTATATAATAGTATTCTACAAGCTTTAATAAAGAAGAGTTTACTGACTATCTTATTACGGAAAAAAAATTATTAATACTCAATAATTTTAATTATAGTATAAGGGTTTTAAATGAAAAGTTTAATACTTTGTACAGATCTTATTTAGTATAGGTGGGAATATATAAATATTATAAGATTATTTAATATAAAAAAACTCTAACCCTAACCTAAAGCTAACTAAAAACTATACTATGACTCTCACCCTAACCCTAACTATTCTCAAATCTGTTTAGATTAGTTTAAATAATTATTTTTATATTAAATAATCTTATATTATTTATATATTCCCACCTATACTAAATATCAACTCTTTGTACCAATTAGGTCATATCTTAGTTACTAAGCAAAAAGAAATATCAAAAAATATTAAACAACTTATTATTTTGGATAAATTGTCTAATGGCTTCTGGAATATGGCATATAAAGAAGCTGCAAAAGAGCTCATATTTATAGTCCTGTACCCTTCCTCTAAGGAGTATTGAATTGTGTTAGAAAATTATTTAGCTATTTATGTTGATCATTTTATTAACACAATCAGAAAAAGTGACTGGATCTCTTATTTTACTAAAAAACTATTAACTAAAGTATGCTGCAAAATGTTTATTTATTTAATAACAAGTCATGCGCCTGGCCATGTGCTGGAAGTTGTTTTTAATATTTCTTGTTGAGATTTATTGTTTAACAAGAGTGTTCTTTTGTACAAACTAATCATGCAAAGCATATCAAATAAACATACAGACGAAAATTTAATAATATTAGTAAAGATGTTCTCAAGCACTTCACTCAATGAATCAGAAGTAAAATTTTAATTAGTAAATGAGTTACCATTTTGATAAAAAATTAAGCAAGACACAAACCACCTTTTTTCTTCAAAAATTTACCATTGATAAAGGTCTCACAAGCTTTATTTTTACATATTTTATATATTAAACATAAGCAATTTATTTTCAAGAAATTTCTAACTGATATAAAAAGATAGTCATTTTATTTTAAATGTTTAAAGCTTTTAAAATTATAAATTAATATAAATACAACAATCCTTTACCGTTTAACCAAAACATAATGAATACTGTTTTCCATTTTTCACTTATTTAAATTTTAAATCTTCTCAGTAAAGACCTAAAAATGAAAGGTTAGGGTAGATGTTTTTCCATATTTGATGGATAGTAAAGAAATTTAAATTGCTAAATTCACCAAAAGGGAAATCGACATAATTAAAGTTAAAACTTTAACTGTTGATTGTAAAGAAATTTTTTTCATTAGGTTTTTTATGTTATAAATGAATATAAAAAACAAAAAAAGTATGCACAAGCATTTAATTCTATAAATATCATCATCAATTATAGTGTTTGAGTGTCATCATGATTATTATCTGATCAATTGATTTAGATATATGAGAACAGCCTAAGTTGATGTTCTAAAAATCTGCAGAAACATATGAGTGCTGCCAAGAGAAACCTATAAGTTGTACTTTTTGTATATTTACTTTTAATCAAAATATCTTTAAATCAGACAATCTAAAACCTTTACTTTTAATATCATTTGAATTATCTTAATGAGACGATTTAAATAATATTAAATTGCTTATTTTAAGATATTTTTTATTAAAAGTAATATTTAAAAAGTGTGACTTGTAGGTTTTCTCTTTGGCGACACTCATATGTTGTATGTAATGAATTTTTTGTATGCTCTCAAGCACCTCACTCAATGAATCGGAGGTAAATTTTTTTAATTAGAGTTTTCTCAAGTACATTACTCAATGAATCGAAAGCAAATTTTTAATAGTCAGAAATTGAATAATTTAACCAAGTAAGCTGTTATTTAAATGAACAGGTCAGAGATATACAAATCATCTTTTTTTTCTTCAAAATTTATTATTGATAAAGGTCACTCAAGTATTACTTTTGCATTTTTTACATGAAAAGCATAAGTACGAATAGCCATGTGATTGGACTAATACTGGCATGCCAAAGGTGCTAGAAATAAATTCAATTAAAGGACTTTAAGTTCGCAGAATACATTGTGAGTAATTTAAGCTGTATAATTTGAGCTGAGTGATTTGAGCTGAGTAATTTGAACTGAAACAATGATATGCTCCTGAAAAAATTAGCAAGTGAGATTGTGCCGGGTATTATCGTAATAGTAGAATGAGTGAGAAATAGCATCAGCTGGTGGTTTCCCGCCTGCTCAAAGTAGGCCGGCTGTTAAATAGGAAAATAGCAGAATCAGGAGACTACAATGTGTAGTGGGAAGAGTTGGGTCAAGAAAAAAGAGATGGTTGTAATACTTGGGTTGTTGACAGAGGAACAAGTGTTGCAAGCATGCAATTTGTCATTTCTTTAAATACTGATTGTGTTCAGTGACTTTCAGTTACATCACTTTATTCGCATAAAATTTTGAAGTCTGATGTCTCTTTTGATCCCCGACCCATGTCATCAGGTAGGGTTGTAGCACATGGTGTGTAACCCTGACCATTTTCCCCTGTCTTTTCAATCTGTTGACTCTTGTCAACCTGTATGATAAACAATGAATTCTCAACAAAATTTAATCTGATCTTAAAAAATAAATTATTTTTAATGCTCAAATCTTTTAAAGCAAATAATCAATACCATAAAGTATGGAAAATAAACACGGCACCCTCTACCCTATTTTTTTAACCTGGGAAAAAATCACTGGAGATGCTATATCTTAAAAAACGTACTAAGTAAATGGGATCAGGTACTCTAAGTAAAAATGTTCAGGGCCCCTGAAAACCTTATGAGAACTGAAATTGGGACCTTATAAAAAAATAATTCTTACTACCC